ACGCCCTAATCTACATGTACCTTAGTCCCTGGTAATATGTGACGTTACTGCCTTTATCGCTAAAACGTCCTATAATTTGGAATGAAAGGAGTATTAGAGAAAGAAAAAATAGAGTTATATGATCATTTATTCTCACTTGACATAAGCATTGATTTACCAAGTGATTTTAAGGGGTTTTTTTTTATTGATTGAAGTGTCAACGTTTGTATGCAATCTCTTTGAAAGAACGATCTCATTCACATGATTCTCGGAAGGGCGACACCTGATTCTCTTGATGTTTTCTATAAATTGCAGCAGTAATCTTCGTATCTTTCCCATTTGCTAGTCTTCGCAGTTGCCATTTTTTAGTGCGGGGAGATCGGATTCGAACTACCTTAAATACCACATTACCACCTATATATATACAACATCAGACAGACGTGCGACGATTTTCATTGCAGAAGATCAAACACAAGAAACCTAGCCAAGTCTGCAGTAAAGCTAGCCAATTTCTGCTGCCGTGGCGTCGAAGCCTACCATCGCCGCCATGGCCATCGTTCTCCTCGGCATCGCCGCCTCCGTCGTCCCCGCCGCAGTTGCCGACGCCGGCTTCGTGGAGAGCACGTGCAAGAGCTCCGACAACCCGAAAGTACTGTTCAAGCTAAAAGTTACTGTTTACGGCTGATTTCCGGTCCAGATTCCTCCGGACTCCTCGTAGCAAACTGGGCTGGCGGTGCTGGGCACTGACCCGCGGAGCGCGAACGCCACCACGGTGGTCGAGCTCGCCAGCATCGGTCTGGACATCGCCCACGCCAAGGCCCTGAACAGCAGCAACTACCTCTCCGGGGAGGCCGACAGGCGCTACCGCTCCGCCGAAGGCGACGCGCTGGACGAGTGCGTCCGGCAGTACGGCACCGCCCTCGGCGCGCGACGACTTCGACAACGGCCAGTACGGCGACGCCGAGCACAACTCTAGCGCCGCCGAGGACGCCGGCGCCCGCTGCGAGCAGGCGTTTACCGACCGCCAGCTCAAGTCCCTCGTGTCCGACATCGACAAGAGGATGCATGACTGGACCAGCGTCGCCAGCGACCTCATCGACCTGCTCTATGTTGATGCCAAAGCCAAACGCTCCGGCCGTCGGCTCTTGCGTGCTTAATTAAGAGGGGTGTTTGAGAGAATTAGCTAGTTGTTGCATCGCCAATCCGCCGTGCATACATGAGCACGTAACGTGAGTTTACGGCCTTAGTTCCAGTTGGTTAATAAATCGAAGTTTTTAACTCCAAAATTTTTTTAGTGTTGCTCATGTGATCTAGTTATAAGTTTTCTACGGTGAAGATTTCTTGAGACGGTCATAATCGATTGTGAGAGATGGTTTTTAAACCCACTATAGAGCAACTTCAAGAGCTTCTTTATATCTTTCTACATTGAGAGTAATATTTTTGATGAAAAATACCCTTCAACTACTTATTATTAATTGGATTTTCAAATATAGCTACATTGTTGCGTGCTATAATGATGAGTTCTACATCCTTAATCGGTGGCATGGGCATAAACTCACCTATCTAATTATGTCTACAGTGGCTAAAGATGTTATGGCAAATCATGTTTCACTATATATTTTCGTGGAGTCTTGCTTTCGTCTTTATGGTGGGGTGATTGAGAGGAGTAGCGACGACGCTTAGATGTTGACCTTGAGATGGTGGAGATGTCGACTTGCATCACTGATTAATAAGAGTTAAACTGCCTCACAGATTAGGAGCTAGGATAAGCAAGAGCATAGGACAATGTTTAGAACACTGAAGCTGAAGAAGCCTTCAAGAATCTATGGCTTGATGGAGAGGACGATTGCTACTGTTGTCAACTAAAAGCTCTCAAGCTAAAGTTAAGTTCACAATAATGTGGTGTGATTTGTAGTATAAGACTTAAGGACGTGTTTGTTTGAAGTGTATCTTCAGAGTTTTTTTTTTTTTTGTCTCGAAAGCTGTCTTTTGCATTTTTTGGCTTCTGACTATTAGCTTTTTACCAAGACATCAAAGACCTTGTTTAGAACAGCTTTTGTTCCGCTTGTGGTGAAAGAAAAACTAGCGAAGGACCCCCAACGCAGCGCTTCTACCTTTGATTTCTCCCCCGCGTTGTTTACACGTGAAATTGGAATCGGCCACGAGAAAGTGTTGAGGAAAATCCCATCGATTCTCCACTTGAGCCCGCGTCTCCCATCGCTTCCTCCCCGTGTTTGTCCTCCAAGCTGCCACGCTCCTCCTCCTTCCCGTGCTCATCCTCTGCGCCGCCGACGGGTTCGTCCTACCTGAGCTCCTCCTCCGAGCCACTGGCTGGCACATCCTCCGCGTCAGTGGGCACGTCCGCCACATCTTCTTTGTTTACTCACTCCTTCACGTCACCGCCGAGCTCCTCCCCATTGTGCCGACGGTTGCCCCCCTCCTGGCGCTCTACCTCCATCCCCTCACACAACGGTAAACACGACCACAAGAGGTACCGAATGATGCGATTTTCTTTGATCCAGATTCTTATGAAAGCTAGCTTTAGGAGAATATTAGCTTTGATTCAAAGCATGGTGGGAATAAGTTGTCCCAAATAGAGTAGTTAGAAAAACTTCTATCAGCGTGCTTTTCGACTTTTAGTTCGCAGCCAACCCGATAGTTGGACAACTTTTTATTCATTTCCTCATAAACCAATTACCAAGTAAACCAATTTTCTAGCTTTTCAATTCATTTCCTCCTATAAACAGTTTCTAGCTTCCTAAAAGTTTCTAGCGGTCAGCTCAATAGCTGGACAGCTTAATAGTTAGACTATTCTAACAGTTGGGTTGTTTATTTCGGCTTCAGCAAAAAGCTAAAACAAAAGCCTAATGTGGGCAACTCAATAGTACTCTTTATTTCAGTTTTTAGCTAGCTTCTAACAACTAGGCTGTTTGTTTCAGCTTAAGAAAAAAGCTAAAACAAAAGCCTAATGCTTTGATGAGCATGAACCGGTTGTACTCTTTTTTCCTTTCCAAGATTTCCTTATTCCTTATGAGGTATAAGTTCTTAATTAAAAAGATTTTTCACTAGGGAAGTTCTGTGATCATTATAGAACAGCTCAATAATATTTAGCGCAAGTTCTGTGATCATCATATTCAAATCAGGCCTTGCTTTTCTAGGCCCATGCCAAGCCGTGCCAGCCTATTCAGACAGACGAGACGCGATTTCCTGAGGACAGTAAACTTGAAGCATCCCCACAAATGACATAACTTAGGTCTGTTTGGGACTGTTCTGCTCCACCTTTTGTAGCTCTGCTCCTAAATTTTTCTGCCAAACAGGTCAACTCCAGAAACTCTGCTCCCAAAAAAAGATGGAGTTTTGGTCCAACTCCATATTTTTCGCGGAGCTCCTCAGAGGGTACTCCACGAACCAGCGTTTCGTATGTCCTCGTGGAGTTGGAGGTAATTACCCGCAATTGCCACTCGTTACGCAAATACCATTTCGTTTCTTTCTTTCTCTCCCGTTCTTCCCCGTCCCGACTTCGCTTCTGGCGCTTTCTCTCCGTTCTTCCCGTCACACGGCTCGGCCAAGCTTCCTACCGCCACCAAGCCGTGATGTGCCCGGCCAAAGAAATCCTGCTCCCCCTCGGCGGCACCGATCTGCTCCCTCCCCTCATGCAGCCAGGGATCACGCTCCCGCCGGCCGCTCTCCTCCTCCACGTCGTGCACGTCTTTGCCACTCTGCCCAGTCAGCTGCTTTCGGCTCCACGGCCGCCGTCCTTTCCGCTCCTTTCTCCCCCTCATGCTCCCGTAGGTAAGCTCGTCGTTATGCCATTCCATGCTCCTCTCTCCTCCCCCTCCTCCCTCTTCGTCCTGCTCCATCCATCCCCATCCCCGTCCTCGTCCTCAGGTTTGGTTGCTGCTCGGTTCGGCCGGCGAGCCACCATCCATTTCCACATGATTGCTAATCAGTCTGCCTCTCCTCGCTAATCAGGCCGCCTCCCAGATCTAGGTGCGGCCCTCCCCTGCTCCTGAGCGGTGCAAGGGTCACCTGCTCCCAAGCGTCGCAAGAACAAGTAACTTTTCCCCCAGTTTGATTCATTCAGTCAGTACTGCTGATTTCAATTTTCAATTTCAGTTTGTGATTACAGATAGCAATTTCAATTTGATTATAATTATGTGATTTCAGTTAGCAATTTCAGTTTTCAAATTTGTTTTTGCAATTTTAGTTATTAATTTCATTTAGCAATTTACACCATATTTGAATTGGTAAAAAAAATATTCACCTGCTCCCAAGCGTCGCAAGAACAAGTAACTTTTCCCCCAGTTTGATTCATTCAGTCAGTGCCGCTGATTTCAATTTTCAATTTCAGTTTGTGATTACAGATAGCAATTTCAATTTGATTATAATTATGTGCTTTCAGTTAGCAATTTCAGTTTCCAAATTTGTTTTTGCAATTTTAGTTATTAATTTCATTTAGCAATTTACACCATATTTGAATTGGTAAAAAAATATTCAATTACACATACTCTGCATACAACAGAACATACACCAAACATCGATAAGGGCATAGTAGACCTTTTCTATAGAAACCTCATGTTTCCAGAGCTGGAGCTAAACTACGTGCCAAACAGGTCCACTTGCTCCAAAAACTCCACAGTGAAGCTGCTCTGTGGTGGAGTTGATAGAGCCGAGCTAGAAAAGGTGGGGCAGAGCTAGAAAAGGTGAGGCAGAGTAGTCCCAAACATGCCCTTATAAAACCACAAAAATCTAGTAGCTACGTTTGCAGAGACTATCTTGGAAGAGAGAACGTATGATGGAAGGGCAACAGACAAATCTAAAGGCAACGTGTAGTCAAATAGGAAATAAACTGAAAGATGCATCCTTGGACGAGGTAAATTGGTATTTCTCCAAAAATTCAAGATCCACAAATCCAACACTGACAGGCCTGATAGCTTAGGTTCCAAAAGTACATAGAATAACATGCTCTGCTACTGATAAACATGCTTTGGTAGCTCATCTCGACGTTGTCATGTATCCAATCAAACCTCCTGGACGCTCAAACCTGCAACAATGGACATTGAGTAGTAAAAAAAAACAGAACTTCATAGCGCTTTCGTGCATTAAATGTGAGACTTCATTTGACAGATCAAAATGGACAGGGTTTGCAACAATTGAAAGGAAATCGGTAATCACAAAACAGATAACCAAAGATACAAGCACATTTCGGACTATAGATCAATAAGAGACAGATAATCTTGTCCCTCAGATCTCATAGCTATTACACATCATCGATGAAATTAGAATCGACTGGTTTTAACCACAAGCCTATATGCCAAAGAGTAGAGACAACAAAGGCTTGAAGCTAAAACCAATCAATCATTCATCTATGTTCCAATAATATAATCTTCAATGGGACACCGACTCAACAAATAGAAAACACAAACCAAAACAAAAAATGAACTTAGTTGATTAGTTCAGAGTGAAAGCTGATAAAGGAAATGATCATACAAGTCCCTCGGATCTCATAGCTATTATTGGCCATCATGGATGGTTCTCATAGTTGGTTTTAGCCACAAGCCACACGCTAATCGAGAAGACATGTCAGATGGCTTGAAGCTAAAACCAATCTTCAACCATCTTTGGACCGAAATTTTATCTTCACTGGGACAGCTAACTGACGGATACTTAAAACGAAGAAAATGGCATCAATCCAACAAAAATAGATAACAGAATAGACCATCAGTAGTGTGGGTAATTCAAGGCAATATTACTCCCAGAATCGTGTTTTTGTATACCAGATCAGAAACAGTATCATGTCAATTAAAGCTGTGCTAACCTGGGGGAAGAGATTGCTTCAACTTGTTTGCCTTCTCAGCATCAAAGACGCAGAGTGTGTACAAGTACTTGGAGCAGCGAACCTTGAACTTGACAACATCCTTGCTCCTCTTGATCTTCACTGAACGGGCATCCTTCCTCCTCGCGGTGAGAAGGAAGTCCTTGATCTCGTGGATCTGCTTCGGCTGCAAATTTATTTCACAAACAATTAGACAAAGCAAAGTGATAGCCTGACACTTGACAATGAGCTACAAAATACCAACAGGATGACAGAAAAGGAAAACTCAGTGCCACTACTAAGAAAACAAACACCCACACACATGCTATATACAATTGGATCTACAATGGTGGGTCTTTTTTTTTACAAATTAACATGTTAACCTATCAGTACATTTCAAATTCTTCTAACTACTGGGCAATTATAAAGAGCAGAATGGCACCAGAATTATATGTAGTCAGAACAGGCATAGCATACAAGTGATGAACTGGCATAACCACGGTGACACCAAAATACAGTGATTGACATTATAAGCTTTCCGTGCTCGCAGCAATTCAGCCTAGGATACAGCTAATACAAAGGCACAACGGCAACTTACAGAGATTGTACAAAACCAGAGCACAAGTAACATTGCTTGGGTCCGTCACTCAAACAGGGATGTCAGCAACACAAAGACCTAATCTGACCAATCTCTTGCACAATAATAATCCACTAAAAGGTCACAGCAAGAACGCGGTCTATAAAACTTTCATCGCCTATATAACCGGACAAGCAACTTGCTACCCAGCCACAACTCATGACGCGGTTAAAGAACATGGATGAGACGAGCTGATGGGCTAGTGCCGTAAACAGGAGCGAGGAGAAGGGGAGGGGAAGGGACTCGAGGGATAGTTACCATCTTCTCGCGAGACCTGGGAGTCGCCGAGCTGTTCGTCTCGCGGCGGCGGCTGCTGGATCCCACGGGAGGAAGGAAATGCGGAGATGGCGGCGGGGTGGGAGGGGAGATGATAAATATAGGGCACACAGATAAAACCCTAGACAGGGAGCGATTCCAAAAATGCCCACGTCCTCGCTCGCTGCAGGTGGGGCCTGTAGGTCGAGGGCTCTCTCCCACGGTGGAAGGCCGCATCGGGATGGGCCTTATTTGGCTGATTGGGCCATGTGGTCGTTGAATTTGTCCCATTTTTTTATTTTTGGGCCCATTTTCGTTCACACCAATTATTATAAGGAAAAAGTCTATTTTAGCCTCCTCAACTATCGCAAAAGTGAAATTAACTCCTCCCCGTCTTTTTAAACCGGACACATGACCTCTCTGGCTGTTTCTCTACGTGGTTTTTCTTTTTTTTTTTTTTTTATATTTATTTTGGATGAATCTTTGAAAAATCATAAAATAGAAAATCTAATTTTGTTGGACTCCACATGAGTAGATCACATATTAAACATATGATATGGTAGGCTTTAGTATAATTTTTTTGCTCTAGCTTTTAGATTTATGCTTTATGTGATTAGTTCATAGTTGCGGTTTCTGTGGTCCTGTTTACTTCATCCATTCCAAATTATAAGACGTTTAACTTTTCTAAATTTATGCTTTTTTACTATACACTTAGATATACACTACGGCTTAGATGCACGTACTAGAAAGCCGAAACATCTTATAATTTAGAACGGATGAAGTATTAATTAAAACTAATAGCTAATTGTTAGTTACCCTTCGTTCCAAACTATAAATCGCTTTGACTTTTTTGGTACATCTATTTTGCTATGCTACATATTATGGTAGACTAATCATTGTATGCTTGAGATGTAGTAAAAATCTCATGCTCATTGGATCATGTATGACCGAATTATAGACTTATTCAGGTCTATGCTTATTAAATAGTTTAAAATAATTAAAAGTATGTAAAAATAGAAAATATATGTTCTCTGTGTAATTTTCTCAGTGACAACATGATTATGTTAAGTGTTCATATGATACAACAATAGTAATATTACATGGAGAACAAATATTTTCTATTTTTACACACTTTTAACTATTTAAAAACTATTTAATAACCATAAGCCTAAATAAATTTATAACTCAATCATACATGATCCAATGAGCATGAATTTTTTACTTCATCTCAAACATACAATGATTAGTCCACCATAAAAATTTCACCATAATAGGACCACAAAAACTACAGCTATCAACTAATCATAGAAAAACACAGATATAAAGTTAGAGCAAAAAATTTATACTAAAGCATACCATATCATATGTTTAATGTGTAGATCTCTCATGTGGAGTCCAACAAAATTAGATTTTTCTATTTTACGTTTTTTCTATAATTTACTATGATTTTTTTTAAAGATGAAGCCTAAATAACTAAAATTTTAGAATGAAGCTAAAAAAAATAGAAGTTTCAATTAGATTTCATGAATCATAAATGTCTGTAGTGGATATAAACCCTGTTTGAAATCGATTAAAATCAAATTCTTGACCTTCCCACCATGAGAATCGAAAACAATGCTGCCCAATCACCTCGCGATATGGATGATTCTTCCACGATTCTTTTTACCGCGAGAACCAACAGGGAGTCCGATCTTTGTACTGCGCCTCTCCCACGGCGGTTCCCCTACCGTACCGCACTGGTTGGTCAGAGAAAGTATCCAAACAGGACCATAAACTGGCAACTTGAAGCTAGCAGTAGCACATGCACATCCAAGAGCACAACGGCAGAACATGTCTATACAGCAACCACTACAAACAATTGGCAATCCTATCCACGAGAAAAAATGCAGTAAGATCCATTTTTCCAAGAAAAACGAAAACGATTCCACATATTCCAAACTCAAATGTTAGAGCAACAGTGCCAATTTATTTGTTGGACTATGACATGTTGTATGGTCCATAAACAGATGGACAGCCACACAAGTTGTGCAAAAAACGGTGTGTACTCTTCCGCATAAACAACCCAGTACAGCAGGAGCCTGTGCAGCAGCAATCAGTAGTCGTCGCCTCTGGATATGACCTCTTTGCAAGTTGGCCGGAGTAAGATTGTGTGCTCAGACTGCGAGACATAGCTCCCTTTCACGTCGCACAATGGAGGACATGGCTGCGAAGCGCGAACAGAGAAGGAGACGGTGAATAACCATGTCCGCAACACGGTTCAGACAATGAAGTCGAGATGGAGCTTTTCACATACCTGAATGATACCACTATCACAAAGATTTTTCAGAGCCAGGAGGTATTTTGTCTCGCCAAGGCGGTCCAAGTACCGGCGGCAAAATGCGAGTGTTCCAAAGTTGTTGTTGATAGTCCCAAGTAGTTTCTTAGCCTTTGCTACCCTCAAAGGCACATGCCCAACGTCAAAGTTCTTCATGTAATGGCTGCATTCCAAGTCCTCCTGGACAAATCCCCTTCCTGAAAATGTCATGAAGCTTACAAAATGTAGAAGTCATCGAGGACTTTAACTTATGTCTAAATAGGGATGCCAAATTCATGCTGCACAGCCATAAGGACTATTCTAGATATAAGTGAAGTGACTAATCCTTTTTACTTTAATAAAAACTATTCATGATGACACATTGTAGCACTACGATATTTCCATCAATCAGTTGAAGCTATACAAAGACTAACATACCATACCAGTAGATCCAAAAGTTTCAATAGCATAAAACTCCCCCTCTTCCATTTTTGTTTGTTCTCCACCTTTCACACTCGGAACTGATTTTCCACCATGGATCTGATATGGCCCAATGCTATGTCCATTGATGTTCCGAATACTTTTTACTGTCACAAACAATAAGGTAGTTTCAATTGTCATTGCCTTTTCTACATTATATTGTATATTGTTCGGCACAATAGAAAATCAAAAGTTGTATCACCTTGGAAAACTTTCCCATTGATTTCAACCTCATATGATTCCATTACTTCTTGGATTGCAGCACCAACATCACAAAGCCGTGCATCTATTCCAGCTTCCTACAATGAAGTGATCAAGTCATATTGAAGTTCAATGAGTGCATGCTGCAACAAAAGAACATAATTTCAGACCGCAACATATATAAAGGAGAAATTCAAATTAAGCCAAGACAGAGAACTATATACAGGAGCAGTTAGAGAGAGGTGCCAACACACAATAATTATGTAATGGAAATCGTTATCCCAATGAGCACATGATCACGTCACGCTTGAGCAAAGGATATCACTTCTGTACAATCATGCAGAACACTACAGGAAAATGACATGGGCAAAGGTGCTAACTGAAATCATGCACTCTTATACCCCACTCTATAAACTTAGAAGCACAGCCTACAGAGGGTGCAGAGGAACATGTTAAAATTACCTTGATCCCTGTATTTGTGGCATCTCTTGTTGCTTGAAGCAATGGATCATACATAGGATTGAATGCAACAGTAAATGCACAATCAACAATGTACCCTGGAACAAATAAGTTAGTCACATGAAATCTACAGAGGTAGTCATAACAAAAGCTCATACAAGATAAACAAGGCAAAGATTGACGGACCATCTATATGTGTTCCAAAATCCAGCTTCATCACATCATCATACTGTAGCACAGTTTTGTCACCAGCATTTGGAGTCCAGTGAGCTGCGACCCTAAGAATAGGATTTCCTTATCGGTTTGTGAATGGAATGAAGATTTTTTTTAAAAAAAATGAATCAAGCAGGAGAGCTGCTGATTATATTAAAAACAAGAAGAAGCTCAGACTGCGCGATACAACATATCAACAAGAGTGGAATGAAGAATTGGAAAACACGACAGATGTAATATATCGTACCAATGGAAACGCTATAGAAGAGTAACATACCAATTCAAGGAGCATCCAGTTGGAAAGGCAATGCCAGCTTGCAGTCCATTCTCCTTGATAAGTTTCCTGACCATGTTTTCCAGTGTTTCGCATAGATCAATCATTAACATTCCAGGCTTAATAATGCTCCTCATATATTTCCGCACCTAGAAAATCGGAACAAACATTGCAGAATTGCATCCAACACCACATAGGATTAAGATTATGCTGCAAATTTATCATAGACGGGTTCATGCCAAACCTGTCTATGAACTTCTGCTGCTCGGCGAACAGAATTGTACATTGGCTTTTGCAGTCGTTCGAGCTCCCTCTTTTCCTCGCTAGTTGTTCTCCATAAATTACTGAAGATCAATAGTGTACATATTTGTAAGCAGTTAATGGCAGTTCCTAGCATCAGCTCAGAATCATCATAGTTAAAGGATGGGGGAACTAATTTTTTCCCTTGATGAATTTCAGATGTGAAGGTTTCATATGATAAGAAATTAACATATGCTCACATAGGATAGTTTAATTCTATACAACTTCCACAACTGGTGATAGAGTTGCACTTACTCATCCTTATATTGCTGAATTTCACCCTCAGGAAATTCTCCTGAAGGAAAAAACTCGTCAACAGGTATTGATGGAGGATCTGTCTGCTGAAGAGGACCCTTCTTCTTTCTACAGAAGACATGGGACATCCTCGTGAATTGAAACAGACAAAACAAAACAAAAAAATGTTTGGTCCAATTCAACAGCAGAACTCACTTGGATTTGTTTTTCTTCTTTTTCTTCTTTGCAGCTTCTGAAGATATCCATTTCAAAGGCAACTGTTAGACTAACTTTACCCCAAATGCTAGATGCAATAAAAGAGTTTCAGCCTTATATGAGAAATTTGGCAAATAGAACTTGCAAGGCTGAGTTGCCACCTGGTGCTCCATCTTGAGATGGATCATCAGCTTGTGCTTCATCATCATCCTCTGGCGGTGAAGACTGAGCTGCAGGAACCACACCATTGCTGTTTGCAGTTTTGCCTTCTTTAATCAGATCTGCCTGCAAAAAGAAGGGGATGTCACTATGAAAGCAAATATACAGAAAAGCAAGGGGAATATGTCATATAGGGTTCCTTAATCCATGTAAATAACGAATTTGTGTAATCATTTTCAATTTCAAATTGAGTTCTGGGGAAGCTACCCATGTTACCTAGTCAAAAGTTTAGTGACCACTATCAGGACAATTCTGGTCATTACTTAAAATGGTGAATTAAGATAAAGCAAGATTGCAACATGGAACGAATGAATAGAGGAACACTGCACTGAACATGAGTATACAAGAACAATAAGCAGTCATCATGACTACAACAGGACCAACTCTGCAAACAAAATACCCCCTCCTGTTCTCAAATAGATGCCAAAGCAAATCTGCTCTGTGTTGTGTAGAAACAGCATTTGTGATTAATTCCATGGGCTATGGAAAACAAAGAAACCGCTGCAGGTACCTACTTTGGTTTCTTCATTTTGTCCCACATGCAGTGCCTCCATCTCCTTGGTAGCTGTATCAACCGCAGCCATATTGTATATTTCTAAAGAAGGTTCAAACCTGAGTGAGCAGAATAAACAAAACCATAAGCACCAATATAGCTCAGGACAACTTACATTTCTTTTCTTTTCTTTTTTTTGAAGAAAAGGGCAGCAGCTCCCCCTTCAATTAAGAAAGGAAGCAATTAGAGTTAGTTCAGTGTACAAGTAGCACTAAAGCTGCTCGCAAACTGCCCACAACAGACTTACATTTCAAAATATATCCCACTTGTAAAACAAATGTGTTGTATTAGTACCTCAGCTATTCGCCAGTGTCTAACAGAAACTCGAGAAATTCATGAACAATAAATTCAATGATAAGAAATAATATGCTATTTGTATGATCAGGATTGGGTTCATCCCGCTCAGTAAGCAAATGGCAAGATTTAAAGTTAGGTTAAGAATGTTCATCAAACCGAAGCATGCGCAAATTGTTAGATACATCATTTAGCTATATGCATATGGGAGGGGGACTAACTGTGCCCTGTATGCCCATGTGCACCCAGTAGTCAGGTTGACCATTCATCGCAGAATCAAAATCTTCATTGAATTTGCTTTCTTCCATTCAGCAAGTTTTGGCCAGGTCTATCTAGCAAGTTTAAGCCAATGCCTTGCAGGCGGGATGCGAGACGGACTAGGATAGTACTTTAGGAAAAAAAATAATCGTTATACTTAACAACAAAACAAGAGAGCTCGCTGCTTCATCAGAAGCACCCTCCAAATGTAATTACCCATAACAAAAGTACTCTACACTCTACAGCCATCAGGTTTGCGTCAGCAGAGCATCCTTACAGAAAACTATGGTTCCAGTAATCTGGAGAAATTTCAGATACCCACAAACTAACCGGGACCAACTTGGCTGGATGAGAGTATCGGATCAGCACTACTACTACCACCTAGATTTAGAAACCGCCCGTCCAAAGCATTTGCGCGTGCGCACATAACCGAAACTAGCCAGCGGCTGGAGCAGGAGCCGACAATACCTTCCTCCCGGTTCGAGGCCGCGAGAGCTCCGGCGATCACGGCCCACGGCTTGCTGTTCGTCGATGAAGGGTGGGGTTGGGGCGGGAGGCTCCGCCGCGCTTCGTGCGAGGCGGCCGGAGGAGGAGGTGACGGCTCGATTGCTCGAACGCCTTGACGGCAAGAGTTGGATTTGGGCCTGGACGGCGACAACAGAAGGCTTCATACGTTTCCTTTTCCCCATTGCGGTGCGGCGACCGTTCTACGACCCAAACCAACCGCCGTTACGGCAGGTGGGACCCAGCTGCCGATCTCCGGCCCAACTGGGATGGAATTACTAAGCCCAAGCGCAGGCAGACCAAAGGCCCTGTACGTCCGATAGCCGAACCGTGCCAGATGGGTCTTGCTGGACCCACACTGCATCGGCCCAGCCCACCTAGTGTCCTTAACACCCCAGCAGGCAGGAGCAGCAAAATCCCTCACGATTCAGAAACCCTCGCCTCCCCCTTCCTTCCCGGCCGCCGCCTCTTCCACGCCGACGCCGGAAGGAGAAAAAAATGGGCGCCGATGGGGAAGAAGCGTCGCGGATAATCGTACCGATGGCGGTGGAGGGGACCCCTCAGCAGCTGGCGTTCGTGGAGGAGTCGAAGCTGAAGAAGCGCAAGGAGAACGTGGACTGGGCCGTCAGGAACCGGGAGCGCAAGGCGGCCAAGCGCCAGCGCATCCGCGACGAGCACAAGGTCATTGTCAAGCGGCCCGAGGATTTCGTCACCGCGTTCCGCAACAAGGAGCGCGACTTCCTGCGGATGCGGACCCGCCTCAAGGTCCGCAAGCAGCCTCCCGTCGAGGCGCTCAGCTCCAAGCTCGTCTTCGCGATTCGCATCCCTGGGTAGGTGGTAGTCCTGGTAGCGGAACAAACTCTCCGCTGTTTTTTTTTTCATCAATGGTGTTAACAGCTAGCGTTGCTTGTTTGATGCGTCTGCTTGTAGCTCCGTGGACTTGCATCCGCACATTAGGAAGATTTTGAGGAAGCTACGGCTGACGAAGGTCCTCACTGGGGTGTTCCTCAAGGCCACCGAGTTGACGCTGAAGAGGCTGCTTGTGGTTGAACCCTTTGTCACCTACGGGTAATTTAACCTAATGAAAGCAACATTTTCCAAGGCTGTGATCGGTTATCTTGCTGTTTTGTAGTACTGCGTTGTTGATATTCAGCTTTGCTGCTGTGTCACAATAGGTTTCCAAACTTGAAGAATGTGAAAGAGCTTATTTACAAGAAGGGCCGTGGGTTCTTGGACAAGGAGCCTTTCCCTCTTACCAGCAACGATCTAATTGAGAAGGTATGCTTTGGTATGTACTGTGGGCTACCGGTCAGCAAGGAACTTGAGTCACCAGTTTTGAGTTCCTCTAGTATTTGTTAGGATAAGAAGATTGGATTATAGCAAATTGAAGTAACTACTGGGGGTTACTCATCAATAAGGAATTAAATACCCCAGTCACCGGTTCTGACTTCTGAGTACTAGTATTTGTTAGGCTGAGAAGATCCAATCAAAACAAATTGAAATAACCACTGTTGCAGGCTATATGTCAATAAGGAATTAGCATGCCCTCAGTCACCAATTATGGGTACTATTATTAGTTAGGCTAAGAAGATCCGGTAATAGCTAATAACAACATTTCAATTTGGATGATCAGTTCATTTTTCAGCTCATTTGTCGCCAACATATTTTTTGTGAATCCAGTGATCACTGAAAAGCAAACTATTCACGATTAAGCATTCTCATCATACACTATATTTTTTTCGCTGCGGAGTGAGAAAACAGAGAGGTGGTTAAAACGGATTTTAGATTCAGTTTTAACTTGTGAATTACATTGAAAGTCTCCTTGTGTGCCTTTGCTTAAAACAGGCTCTTGGAGAACACGGCATCATATGCTTGGAAGATGTTGTGCATGAGATCGCCACTGTTGGGCCGCACTTTCGAGAAGCATCAAAGTTCCTCATGCCCCTCAAGCTCAAGTGTCCAGAGAGGAGGCTGCAGATGAAGAGGAAACCCTACAAGGATGGTGGTGACTCAGGCAACCGTGGCGACAAAATCAACGAACTAATTGAGAAATTGAACTAAAGCAGACCTTGCCTCCCCGTTGTCATTTTGCCTTGGAGTGATGGATCTGTTACCTTCTCAGTTTTGTAATAGCATAGCTGGATGTACCTTTAACTTTGAAATCTTACCTGCTTTTGTGCGATCAGATCATGAAATAGCAGAAGCTTCTTTGGTCATCTCCTGCCTTCTGCTCGACATGTGCCTTCGGTTGGTGCGACAAAATATCAACTCTGTTATGCTTTAGTGTGCTATTGATTGTTGAATATATATCCTGATCCCTTTGCTTTTCACTAAATAGTGTTGGATCTAGCTGGGTGGCATAATGAGCCATGGAGCACCCTATGATTTGGTTGAATGTTAGAACTACAGTAGTTACACTGCTTAGCTTCAAGAAGATTGTGTATACCCAAAGGATTTAACCCATTACATCAAGTTGGGCCATCCTTGCTCCAATTCCTGAATTCGTCACTGCAACTAGATGGCCTTGCAATTCAATGATGCCCATACAGTCTTTTGCCTAGAGATTCATGCTTGATTATACAAGGTGAAGGGTGATCGTAGGTTATTGGCAACATGAAGTACAAGGTAAAGCTTTCAGCGAAATTGTCTTGCTTGTTTGTATTATTGAGCAGATAAATTGTATCATAGGCTGGTTGGCACGGCTAAGTTCAAACTTTTGGATTTCAAAATAAAATAAATAATGTTTAACCGTTTGATTAGATATGGTTTCTCTTTTGTAAATTTAACTCAAGCTCCCTTTGGAACAAAGAAAAATGGAAGAATTTTAGGTCCCATTTTGGAACACGGAAATGCAAAAACATAGCAATTTCGCGGGAATGTAGTTGCAAAATAGAGGATTAGGAATTTTACAGGAATTAGTTCAATTTCACATGAAAAACGCATGAAATTTTTTCCATCTTCCAAACAGGCCCTAAAAGGTTTTTAGCCATGATGAAGTTGTACTTTTTCACTAGTTGATGAAATATGGCTGAACATTTCTTATATTACCAACTGATATTATGTCTAAACCTACAAGAATTGTCATTCAAATGTACACCTAACCATCTAGCTTTGAGTCCTCTTTAACTCGAATTTAGGTGCATATTTTCTTCTTATAAAAAAACCGTCCAATTCCTTCTAGATTAGTTTTATATTTTTTAGAATTTTAGAGGAATCCTACTTTATGAGATCTCAGCTCAGAATGATTAGAGATAGCACCACCTCCTCTTGTTTTTTTAGAAAACCGGGTTGCATTTTATTGATTCATATAAAATATTACACATACATCCTTACAAAGACACCCCTGAATAAAATAAAAATTACATCCTGGTCCTTGCAAAGATCTCTCGGTCATCTTCGTCGCCAGAGAACGGAGCCACCACTCATAGTTGAAACGAACGCCGAGCTTGCTGCTTGAAGCCGAATCCCACCTCAACGAAGAAGCTTCCAGAGAAGCAACATACAGTTTTGAAGCTACATCAATCGGCACATAACAAGATGTGCACCTTAAACGCTGAACGCCCGAGCAAATGATGGCCAGCGGCCATATCCTCGCCAAGAGTACGGGATCAGACGCCACAAGCACCGCCGGTGACCCCGAAACACCAAGCGACAAAGCAACCCTAGGGGAAAGCAACCAACCCAATTTCTCGAGCAGAGAAAAGACAAATCCCACAAAACCATCTCCGGAGAAGGCTTCGACACCTCCACCATCGCCGGAAACTGCTGTAGGGACAAAAGAACCGGACGGCAATAGAAAGCCACCGGAACCAACACCACATACCTCATCTTGTCCATACGAGGAACCATGCCGGAGGTCATTGGAGACCAAGCTGAAGCCACCGCAGCCGCCGCTAAAGAAGGATACGGGGTAAACCTACCTATATATAAGCTAATATGGGAGAGTATGTACACCGGCCATCGATCCCACGACTCCTCTCCAGCTCCGGCGCTGGAGCGGCCACCTGAGGCGAGGAGCCGGGGAAATCAACTCTGGGATCCAAATCGCCTCGCTTTCTAAAACACCCTCGGTGTTACACTGTAAATCATTTGCTAAAACATGTCATGAACATCATGTTTATGTGTTAATGCATGTAATAAAGAGTGTAGATCAATTTTCGTAACTCAAAACGATCAACGGAAGTGCGAAACGAAAGTTAATTCCATAGTCATGTTATATCACTTAGGGTTTAAAACCAATTTTTATTAAGCAACAATGTTATAGAACATGTATGTGATACTTGAATAAAATTTAAAGTACAAATTTTGTAGATGACGATGAAATACCTGCGGTCGAAAAATGATATCACTAGCTAACATTTCTAATAACTTGAAAATCGAATTTGAAGCAAATCCAACACAAGACTTGGTCAACTTCTTAAGTCTAAAAATAGATTGACAAAACTATGTTTGGTAATTTTTGCTGAGAAATTGGGTTAAGGAGTGGTGTGGTATTATAGTTTGTTTTGGTAGCTTATTATATCTTCTAAGGCATAGCAAAGGTGGATTGGGGATTGGATCAACGGTTTAGATTTTTCGAACGCTTTAAAAACCGTGCACAACACATTCTCGACCTGTTTCCTCGCGTGGGCGCGGTCACCGCGTCTCTGAGGCGCGGCGTCGTCGCCTCGGGTGCCCCGTGCGCGCGCACCCTGCCGCGCTCGGTCAGCCACCGAGGGCGAGTCGGCCTGGCCGCACGGTGCTGCTGCCACGAGGGCTCGGTGCCTTGGCCACCGTGCCACCCTGACGCACGGGCGTCCCATCCCGCTTTTGTGCTGCTGCTCTGCTGCCGCGCTGCCGTCGCATCCGCCTCTGTCGCCTCGAGTCGCGACGCTGCCGCTGCCGTCGTGTCGCTCCTGTACGCTTGCCGCGTCGCATTGCCTCTCTCTTGCGCCAGCGCGTGGGACTCCTGGTCCCATTGCTCGCGTCCCACCTAGGCGCACAACCACGCCACTACCGCCGCCTGCGTTCCCCTGACTTTTCCCCTACCACCGCCGCTACACCACGACAATACCTGGACGCGTGTGGTGCCTCTCATTAATTCCGCACGCCTGCACCTGCGCTCTCTTGTCCTCTCACCGCCTGAACCACCCACAGTCTTAATGACGGCCGGCTGGGCGCCAATTTGGCGTTTCCACCCTGGCGA